CCCTCCCCTTCCTTTGCCTAAACACCCGCGAAAAGCCGACAAGAATTAATAATTGGCCAATGCACGGGCTGCCCGTGCGAAGATGCGCTTTTTGCATAGCTCCTCGCAGACTTTTGTCGCTAACGGCACTGATTTTTCCGGCAGATGCTTCCAGCTAAAAGAATTTCAGACTGGCCACCAGAACTGTCAGGAAACATCCCCTCAAAATTCCAGCCTTCTAGCTTCTCACGTTCTCAAGTTAGCAACGTACCCGGAAGACTTTCACGGGCCCGTACGTAGGTACCACGCTTACCCACAGGCAAGGCTTGAGCTCGTTAATCCCACTTGGACAGGGAACATCACCGTAAGATTTCAGCGTTTTAGCTTCTTGGATTCCCGAGTTATGAACTTACGCCAAAAAAAAAATTTGGCGGGCCCGCAAGCGGGTACCACGCTTACCCGGGGATCGGTTTCAGTGCATTAACACCAACATGGACGGAGAACATCCCCCTAAGATTTCAGCGCTCTAGCTTCTTAGTCCCCCGAGTTATGAACTTACCTCAAAAAAACTTTGGCGGACCCACGCGGGGGTGATGGCGCCCATTTTGGGGTTTGGAGCCGGCATGTATGTAGACTAAGTTTCCGAAATTTCAGCCCTGCAGCTGTTGTAGGTCTTGAGATGAAAGTGCGTGACAGACGCACAGACAGACACACGAACACGCAGACAACCCCTCGTCAATATGAGTTTGCATTGCATAGCTGCAAAAACGCATAAAAATGAGTGCGCTATTTTCGATAGCAGAAATAAGTGCAGTGCGCGTGGCATACGTACAGATATAGGAGTTCCAGTTGTTGTGTGTGATACGAAATTCGGAAGAGCAATGCATACCACATTACAATCTGTATGATTCAAGATAACTGAAGTGAGGGTTCTGATTCCCTTCCACTTTACACTATTTTCAAAAATGGGCTCCGTCTGCGATGCTGGGCGCACTAATACAAGAATCTTTTTTGCGCTTCTTTTCTCCAATGTGTATTATCGGGTATCTCTGGATAGCGCGTCGGGTATCTCTGGATTTACTGCAGATTTTTATTCCCGTGAAAGACGGAAATCTCTTTTCAACTTCTTAATCGTTCCTTACTATGCAGAAAACAAAGTATCGCCAAAAAGTATGGAAACTGAATTTTGCCAAAAGTATGGATTACTGGTCAATCAATCTTCCAATCTTTTACGAACCTTTTTAGTGCAATCGGCAACACAATGTCCAGTCAACGGAAAAGCCTTCTGGTGTGGTGGAAT